ACGCGTCTCGACGAGAGGAACACGATGCTGGCAAAAGTAATGTCGTGGCTCTCTTGAGTTAAAAGTTATTGCCGAAAAACAGTTTTCGTGAAAACGGCTATTTTTACAGTTTTTGCCCTCTGGAGGCTAAACCGTTGACCTGAGGTCAAATCTGAGAACACTCTACATAAATGGCGGTAAAAGGGCTATCGAATGCGCTTTTCCGCGGCGCTGTAGCTCTATTGGTTCCCGAGTTGGCCGTTGGCAGTTTCCAAAATTATCGAAATGGACTAAATTTGACCTTCGATGACCTCTGGTGACCTGACCTTTGACCTGACCTTAAAAATGACCGAAGTGTTTTCTTCCTTATTTTTGACGCTCTTTCGATTGCCGCTTACCGCGTGTCGCTACGTGGCCCAGGAGCCGAGTTAGACGGGGGGCGTGAAAACGCCCCCCCCCCCCCCAGCACTCGGCGGAAAGTTCAGGCCACCAGCACGGCGCGGGTTAAGATAGGACCCCTTCTTAATTCCCATGTTTGGCCTCCTCCCCTTTCCAACATATTAACCCTCGCCCGCACATGGGGGGGGGGGGTGGTTGCCACCCCCCCCCCCCAGGTAGTCTTTCTGCTCTGCACTCAACATTTTTAAAGCTAGAAGGCTGATTTTTCGTATAGCTGCTCCTCTATCCTTTCTTGATGTCCAATGAAAATTTCAAGTTTCTGTGACTTTTGGTTTCGGAGATATGACCTTGTTTTTCAGGTCATGTCATGACCCAAATGGCCAATTCTCAACATCTTGCGCTTGCCATGTGCCTTGTAAGCTTTTGACACCCTGATTTCGGCCTTTTTTGCCAGTCTTACCTCCCACCTATCATGGAACATGTTGTTCGACGATGTACAGGGGTCAAGGTCAGGGTCAAGGTCAACCTAGGTCATCTAAGATAATGGCGTTTTAGGCAAGCTAAATTTACTTTTTGTGAAGTTTTTTGACTGCATTTTTGGTAAACGCTTCTCAGAAAATGATTTCATGTAATATGGACCCAAAAAACAATCGGTGCACGCATCAGTATACACACAGACACACACAGACATACAAACACATATAATTGAGCTTGACCTAACTTGACCTGAAATGACCTCAGAAGCAAAATTCTGGTCGGGTAGTGTGACAAAGAGGTTCTAGCTGGCTTGGCACCAGAAAACAGCATCGTCATCGGTATTTGATAAGCAGCGCACTTGATATCCAACGGTGACCCAAAACAGCAATATTTTTTAGTTTGACCTGACCTGGAAGGTCAATGACTGACCTGAGAAGGTAAAACTGGGTATCATTGGATTCGTCTCTTCCCAAAGAATCTTTTTGAATCTTATACATATTTGCGACGGGTTGATATTTGTTTTAGCACCATAATAATGCGCCGAATCAAAGGATTACAACGGGCTGTTGCTTAGCGCGCTCAAGCAGCTGAGCCTTATTTTCGTGATGGATGCGTGCAAACATGTCAGGAGACTTTGTGATCAGTAAATCATTATGTTGCTAATGTTTTCTCGGAGATCCAATACTCTGTTTCCTGGCTCGCTTCATGAAATAAGGCTCTGAAGCTGACCAGAAACGGGCATGGCGACACCGGTGTTTCGCAAACCGGGAGATCTTGGCGGCAGCGAAGAACGTGATCTCTCGTGCTCAATCTTGTGCGACTCACAACGGGGGCCACCTGACTTAAGTAGTGCTCTAGTCATGAAAATACAAAACTTCAGTTCATTCTCTTTCGTTTGAGGCGTCATTTGCCTTTATCAGTGGCATAGCACGGTCACACGACAAAAATAAAAAAGCTTCAAGACTTCTGGGACACCCTGTAATTTTATGCTGGATAATATTTGAAGCGCCTTATTTACTCCGACTGGGTGGGACATATCGTCACTTCGGGACAACCGGAGGGCGGCACTATAACTTCAGAGGCGGCACTTTGACTTTAGAGGGCGGCACTATGACTTCAGAGGGCGGCGTTATGACTTCAGAGGGCGGCGCAATGACTTCAAGGACCTTCACGAAGACTGGAGGGCGGCGCTATGACTTCAGAGGGCGGCACTATGACTTCAGAGGGCGGCGCTATGACTTCAGAGGGCGTCGCAATGACTTCAAGGAGCTTTACGAAGACTGCGGAGGGCGGCACTATGACTTCAGAGGGCGGCACTATGACTTCAGAGGGCAGCACTATGCTTCAGAGGGCGGCACTATGACTTCAGAGGGCGGCACTATGACTTCAGAGGGCGGCGCTATGACTTCAGAGGGTGGCACTATGACTTCAGAGAGCGGCGCTTTGACTTCAGAGGGCGGCGCAATGACTTCAAGGAGCTTCACGAAGACTGCGGAGGGCGGCACTATGACTTCAGAGGGCGGCACTACGAGTACAGAGGGCGGCACTACCACTTCCGAGGGCGGCATTTCGACTTCCGAGAGCGGCACTACTACTTCAAAGGGTAGCAATATGACTTTAAGTAGCGGTACTTCGAATTAAGGGGCGGCACTCTGACTTCAGGAAGAGAAGCGACATACTCTGAGGGTTAAATATAAATTCAGATAGTTACTACCAGAGAATATTATGAAATGAGATTCAAAGAAATGCGGGTCATTTCCGTAAAATGCACTTCATCACGTATGGAAAAAAGCCGCCCTCCGCCGCCTTCGGCGGCCGAGGGGCGGCATTTTTCGATAGGCTAGGGGCATCGGCCCCCAGATGCCCCCCCCCCTGGATCCGCCCTTGGCTGCAGTCGCCCAGCGGCCCGAGGTCGGCGCTAACCGGTACCATGACTCAGCGGCGCCCCGCCCCGGGGTAATTACATACTGCGCAGTTGCAGCGGTCCAGACCGGGACAAAGGCCGACGGAGGAGCACGAGCTGCACTGTGTCCATCGGCCGGGTCAGTCGACAGAGCGGGTGGTCCAACAGTGTGTGGACGGTATTGAGCTCTGTCCACCGGAGCCGACCACGGCGGAGGCGGCGAATATCAGGTGAGCCGGACCGACCTGTGTGTGAGGGGGGGGGGGTTCTGTGTGTCCCTGTGTCTGTTGTCTGTTGTCGAGTGTGTTTTGTGCGTCTGTGTCTATTGTCAGACTACATATGAAGCAAACTTTGGTGGATAAAATATGAACTAACAGAATCGTTTAATTGGCCGTGTTAGGGTAAATCTGGTTTAGGCTAACGTGCTCCAAAGTGAGTATAAACTCGGATCTGGGCTGTTCCTATCAAAATACACTTGTTTTAACCCACGAGCCGCTGGGGGGGGGCATAAAGTTGCCCCCCCCCCTTTACGTTTTGTGAAATATCTCGGAAACCTGATGAGCTACGAAGGTGAAACTTGGCATAGCTTCAAATGAATACCTAGGCAATGTTTGAGGAAAGGTTGGTGGTTGTAGCACCTAAGATGACGTCACAGTGACGTCATAAAGTTTTGTCGTTTTCCGATATGGACCGTTTCTGATGACGCTGAGCATGAAACTCAACTGTAAATGAACTAGACAGCACCTGATGTCATCCTAAAACATCTAACTACACTTCCATCTAGTTTCTGACCAATAATCGACCCTTTATATTCGGTCCCATATATCTGATGTATCGTGAGGAATATGAGAGTCGCAAATCTATAATTTCACTTATGACGTCACTGTGACGTCATTTCAAATGATATCGACACCACATTTGGACACAACCTCGGATAGGTATTCAGGAAGATGTGTGCAAAGTTTCGCTTCTCTATCTTTTCACGTTGCGACGATATCGTCGCAGAAGTAAAGGGGGGGGCAACTATATGCCCCCCCAGCGGCCGGCGGGTGGCGCGGAGGCCCAGCGGCCGCCGGGTTAATTTATGCTATCCAAAAAGTTAGGGTAAATTAAATTAATTGAAAATCGGGTTTAGGCTAACGAAAAGTTAGCCTAAACCCGTTTCACAAAAGCAATGATATGTGTTTGTATGTCTGTGTGTGTCTGTGTGTATACTGATGTGTGCACCGATTGTTTATGTGTCCATATTACATAAAATCATGATCTGAGTAGCTGTTACCAAAAATGCAGTAAAAAAACTTCACGAAAAGTAAATTCAACTTGCCTAAAACGCAATTACTTTAGATGACCTAGGTTGACCTTGATCCTGACCTTGACATCTGTACATCGTCGAACAACATGTTCCATGATAGGTGGGAGGTAAGACTGGCAAAAAAGGCCGAAAGCAAGGTGTCAAATGCTCACAAGGCCCATAGCCAACGCAAGATGTTGAGAATTGGTCATTTGGATCATGACATGGCCAAAAAAACAAGTTCATATCTCCGAAACCAAAAACCACAGAAACTTTAAATTTATAGTGGGTATCAAGAAAGTATAGAGGAGCAGCTATTCGAAAAAATCAGACTTCTAGCTCTAACAATGTTGAGTGCAGAGCAGAAAGAATACCTGGGGGGTGGGTGGGGGTGGCAACCACCACCACCCCCCCCCCCCCATGTGCGGGCGAGGGTTAATCAATCTCCCCCTCCCCAACCCCTGACCGGGCGAGGTGCGAGATGTAGGTCCAACCCCTCCAACTTGTCGAGATATCCACTGAGATCATAGATCTGCCTCTTCCATCCCCGCACATATCTGCTGCTCACTATGGTTTATACTGCCGAGCTGCACGGGGTGTCCGGAGGGATGGAGGAGTTCCAGACGGCCGGGGAGGGGGGAGGGGGGGGGCTGCTGCACCGCCATCCGGTCCGTGTTATCACGAAACCATGGTGGCTTTCCGCTGACGTCATCAGTCTGGAACGCCGCGCCGCCGGCTCACTGGGCACGCTAGAGTCTCCTCGCTACGGGACAAGGCCCATTGGAACCCGGACATCCAAGTACTTGACGAATGTAGAGAGCTCCCATTTTATTTTGTTGTTGTTGCTGATTAGCCTTTACGAGGCAGCTGTGCACTTACATCTCAAGTGTTCCATGAACGCCATTAGTTACAGTACGACGCCGGTGACCGGTAGGGGCGCTGCAGTCGCCCAGCGGCCCGAGGTCGGCGCTAACCGGTACCATGACTCAGCGGCGCCCCGCCCCGGGGTAATTACGTACTGCGCAGTTGCAGCGGTCCAGACCGGGACAAAGGCCGACGGAGGGGCACGAGCTGCACTGCGTCCACCGGCCGGGTCAGTGGACAGAGCGGGTGGTCCGACAGTGTGTGGACGGTACTGAGCTCTGTCCACCGGAGCCGACCACGGCGGAGGCGGCGAATATCAGGTGAGCCGGGCCGACCTGTGTGTGTGTGGGGGGGGGGGGGGGGGGGTTCTGTGTGTCCCTGTGTCTGTTGTTGAGTGTGTTTTGTGCGTCTGTGTCTATAGTCAGACAATATGTGTTTATGTAACGGTGTGTATGTGATTCTGTGAGTCTTTGTGTGTCTTCTCTGTGTGCTAGGTACCCGTCTGAGTGTTTGGATGTCTGTGCTTAGATGAAGTAACGGGGAAGAGGGCATAGGTGGCGGAACGGGGAGGGGGAGGGGGGGCACCGGGGAACCGTGCCAACTTGATTTCGGCATTTTAACATTAGCCCTATGGGCGTTGCATGGAAAGAATGGGACCAAACGTCGGCAATGCCCCTCCCCCCGCCCCCCACCTTAATTAAAGGTGTAGCCTTAATTAAAGGCGCTACTGGGGGAGGGGGCAAATGTCCCGCAGTGGCTGCCAGTTGCCCCTGCAGTGACGAGATTTTGCCCACCCTGTCGGAGTGAATATAATGCGCTTCAAATAAATATTCCCCAAGCTGTCAAACCCAATGTGAAAGTCAATCAATCCTATTTCCTTTTCATATTTTGTCGCCCGTGTTTACACTGATCTTAGTCTAATATCGTAGAGAACATCCAGCGGCGTATCCACAATCCTGAGGTTACCTTGACTTTAGAGGACCCAGTGGATTTTTTTTAACCCACGCCCTGGTTGGGGGTGTTTTATGCCCCCCGTTCCAGTCGTTTCGCACTATCTCCCAAATTAATGCGCCGATCGCCGCGAAAATTTCAGAACCCTCTTGTAAATCGGTTTTACACCTCGTTACATCTTCTTCCACAGTCTATGATAGGTTGGCCGCAAATGACGTCAGAGTGACGTCACGTTCAGGCATTTCCGACCCAAAAGAGGTTTGATGGGAGGAGCTGTCAAGCCCAAAGTTTTAAAAATAAAGGAAAATGTTGAAAAACAAAAAGATATAAAACGAGCAGCGCTACAAAACTGCTATCTTGTTTGTTATATATTTGCTTTGATTTTGAACCCCAAATTAACCCGCGCCCCGTTGGGCTCTGCCGAGCAACGCACCCCGTTGGGGGGGGGCAATTTGCCCCCCCCAAAAAAGATCTCGAGAACCACGCAACCTAGCGACAAGCGGCAAACGGTGTTGGATAGCCCTATCAGGGAACTACCTTATGACCCAATTTTGTTGACCTAGGTCAAACTGATGATGTCACAGGTCAGGTCAAAGGTCGAATTTTCAGGGTTTGGTGTTTGTATATTTGTTCATGAACAGTTCGTGAACAATGTTTGTTTGTTTGTTTATTTGACAGTTTACGAATTTTGGCATTCAAGGTCACATGTTCACTTACAATTATCTGTTCACGAACAGTTCGTGAACGTTCATGAACGTTCATGAACAAGTCATCATTTCTGATATATTTCGAGTAACTGTTAGCATACGGTGCAGACATGACTGCAGGCAGGTTTTACATGTGAAATATGCACAAGCCACAAGTCATATCTCAAGCACACTAAGGTTGTTTGGTGCAGTAGGAGCTTTCCGCTAATAACTTCCGATCAAATTGAGCTAGCGAGTCGGTTGAGCCATCAACTGACTCAGAAAGAACTGCCACATCGAATGATATGCAGCATGACATCCTCCATGCAGCTTTGTGACCCGAGTGGCTTTGACCTGACCTTGACCTTAGGTCAACATCCTAAAAAGACCTAATCTAAACAAAAAGTATATCATTCGACGCGCCTGGCCACGACGAGCACGATGGTGCCACAACCGTGGCTCTGCCACCATTTGAGGCGAAGTTATTTACCAAAAACCAGCCTCTACTTTATGACACTTGACCTGACCTCAGGGGTCACCGTTTGGTGTAAGACCTTGAAATTGGATACCAATCGCTGTGGTTTGTTAACCCGCGCCCTGGTGGGGTCTGTTTATAACGCGACCTGGTGGGAGGGGCTATTTTTTGCCCCCCCTCGTATCTCCGAAACTACTGGACGGATCCGAAAAATTCAAACGGCGTTCGAAAGACCTGTCAAATTTGTTGAGGGAAACCAAATTTTATTGACTTCGGGGTCACCGATGACGTCACAGGTCAGGTCAAAGATGAAATGTTTCACCGTTCACGGGTCTTCTAGAGAATGCGCTATAACACCGAGGAAAACGCATTTTGTCAGGAATCAGCGATAGGGCGTCAGTTGCCTAGTAGATATGTTGCTGTTAGAGGTCACTGGTCATACCAGGTCAGGTCACAGGTCAGGTCACCAAAGGTCACCAAGGGTCACCACATGAACCCAACTTTACTAAGGTTATGCGATGCATGTTTTATGGCCAGTTTTTCATTTCCAACTCAATGGTGTTGGTTATAAGACCATCAGGCACGGTTTAGGTCACTTTCTGGTGGAGGTCAGGTCAAGGTCAGGTCAAAAAAGGTCAAATTTCAAAGTTGATATTTTTGCATAAAATGGGTATTGATTCGATGCAGCTCGTCACGGGGAGTCTAATGGTGGTCTTTGTTTTGCGCTACGAGGTCTAGAATTGCTGAAAATTGAGTTTGAAAATTTGACGTCATCAATTTTGAACAGTTTTTTCGCTATAACTTGGCCAAAAAAAGAGGTATCGATCTCAAATTTGGTATGTAGATAGAAGGTGGTAAGGACTATCACATATATTCCGGTTTTTTCGAAATTCAAAAATTTTTTTGGATTTTTTGGCTATTATATTCAAAAAATCTATTTTTTGATTTTTGGGGGTCAAAATCCAAAAATTTCAAAAATCCGAGATAGCAGTTTTGTAGCCCTGTCCATTCTACAGCTTTTATGTCTGTATCATTTTTCTGTATTTGCAAAGCTATAGGCCTGACAGCTCTTCCCGCGAAACCCTTTTTTGGGTCGAAAACGGCAGAACATGACGTCACTCTGACGTCATTTCCGGCCAACCTATCATAGCCTTTGGAAAAATTTTTGGTCACAATGTGTAAAATTGATGTCCGGGAGGGTACTGAAAGTTTGGTGACGATCGGCGCAGTGGTTCTGGAGATATATCGAAAAGTCTGGAGGGGGGGCAAAAAATAGCCCCCCCCCCCCACCAGGTGGCGGGTTAACCCGCGCACCGACGGGGGTCTGCGCCAACTTCGCACCGACGGGGGGGGGCGGATGACCGCCCCCCCCTGAGATCTCGAGAACGAAGCAAGATAGCGACAAGCGGTAAACGGCATCGGATACGCACGGCCAAGATCTACAATTTTTACTAAGGTCATTTTCAGGTCAGGTCAAAGATGACGTCACAGGGGTCGAAAAAGTCAAAATGGCGGCGCTAGATATGGAGAGAGTTTTTCTCGAATAACTTTCGAATTAGTCAAGATAGGAACAAACTAAGGGCATCATCGTGATTCTCTCGTCAATCCGCATCGAATGATATATATGTTGACCTCGAAAGGTCAAGGTCAAAGGTTGACCTCAGGTCACGTGACCTCGAGGTCATCATGTATATCATTCGATGCGTCTTGACGAGCTGAACACAATGAGACCATCCACGCGTCTGTATCTTGTTCCTGTACGGAGTTATTGGCCAAAAACCTTTGGTGACCTTTGATGACGTCACATGACCTCACAGCTGCCCAACAGCAAAACAGACCTCAAGGTAGTGAAGGTTGATCGTATATGAAGTCATGTTTGGTATATGGGGCCATTCCGACCCGTTTTAGTGGTAAAAACAGGGAGTTGATTTTTCCCCCATTGACTTATAATGGGGAGGTCGCGAAATTGACCTGACCTTAGGTCACCTATATCAAAATTCCGAGATATACAAATTGTAGCTACTAATGACCTAATAATATCCTGCGACTTTCAAAGGCCTCCGACATCTACTGTAGCTCTGGCACGGTGACAAAGTTGCAAAAAAGTGACTTGAGGTTGGGTCATTCAAAGTGACCTGGTGACCTGACCTTAAAAGGTAGGAGGTTCAAACTTCCACACCATGTGTAAAATTGATGAGGTTATAGTCATACCAAATTTCGCGCCGCTACGCGCCGCGGTTTTTCCGCTATTCGCGAAAAACCTGAGGGGGGGGGGCGGATATCCGCCCCCCCCCGTCGGTGCGCGGGTTAAGACGCACACGCTGGCTTTTCCCGCAAGGTTCTATCTCAATTAGGAGCGAAATGGCTAAAGAGGGGGTCTTATCTACCCCCTCTTTACCGTGTTCGCGAACAGTTCATGAACGTTCGCGAACTGTTCGTTGTTTGTTTACCAAAATTTGACCGATGACGTCACTTGTTCACGAACACATTTGTTGGTGAACAGTTTGTTTATGTTTGTTTATTTGAAAAATTAAACAAACACCAAACCCTGACATACATATATTACATGTACTGCAGGTAATGCTGCCTCATCCTAAGGTAAGACGGAAGCCATAAGCCATGGTGAGCCGTAGGATGACAAGTCGTGTGGTGAATGGTGCTGGTCAATGATTTGGGCCTGTATTGGACATAATATTTACGCTACAAAATTTATAACGATACAAAATTAAAATAATTAGCTACACATAAGAGCTGAACAAAATATTTATGCGAAAAGTTTTCAAAAGCTGTCAGATTGATCAATTGACATCAATAAAATATGCCTAGTTCGGAATATAGGGGAAAGTGGGGTAAGACGGTCAGGCTAGGTAAGACGGGCATCCCTTCTGCAGACCAAACCAATAGCGCTACGAGCGAGAAAAATTAGGACCAGAATTGGCTTTCCCACTACACACCACCATTGAAGTCTGGTGAATTTGTGTCCAATCGACAATGTTTTATTTTGATTTCTTTAAAACACTCATTTCATTGAAAACATCCATGATGTATTGTGGAAGCTTTTGTGTGCAGCACTATATAGTTAAAAACTTGCAATCACTTGTGGTACACTCATATGCCACCGGTGTTCATTTACCGCGGATTTGCTTTGTCTGCATCAAATTGTCCACAGAGCAAAATTGTGCTGAACTTCTGACATTGAGTTTGGGGT